TGATAGGACATTTCCTTGCGAGTGCGCATATCCGTAAAAAAAAAAAAAAAAAAAACTACAAGCATATGTCAAAACATGTGAAAAATGTGATAAGACAAAATATGAAAGGCAACCTTACAAAATAATATTTAACCCAACTTCAATCGGTTTAAAGCCCTTTGAATACCTTTATATTGATACATACGTTGTTTCGAATCAAAAATTCCCAAAAATTATTGACGGCTTTTCGAAGTTTGCACAAGCTATCCCAAGTATTAGCAAAACTTCAGTTGAGTTTGCACCACAATTAATAGGATATGTGGAATTCCACAAATAATTACTTCTGATAACGGAACTAAATTTAAAAATGCAATTGTAACAGATTTATGTACTTTACATAAAATCGAATTTCATTATACGACTCCTCGAAATCCTAATTCGAATAGTCCTATTGAGAGATTACATTCTACCTTGAGAGAAAGCTTAACAAGCTTGAAATTACAAAGCCCTAATAAAAACATTAATGACCTAATGGTTATTGTAATCTTGAACTATAATAACAGCATACATAGTGTTACAGGTTATACACCTTTCCAAATAATTAAAGGCGATTTGAATTATTCAATACCTATTGAAAATTCACAAAATAAGATAACCACAGATTATATCAATAATCTTGCCGAATCATTAGAAACTTTAAATAATGTAATTCATGGAAAATTAATATCAAAACAAACACAAAATTTAGAGAAAATTAACAAACAATGTGACAAAGAACCTGAATTAAAAACCAAAATGTTCCTGGCAACTTTCATCGTCCTTCTCATAGGAATTTCCAGTAACGCCTACACGTTAACTCCATTAAGAAATCCTATTTTACCGATTTCTATAAGAACCACTTACATCACAACACAACATAACACTGCATGTTATCACATTAATACTACCCTTATTGGAAAAAGTATTAAAACTCTCAAAATAACTTCAAAGAATTTAAACAATACTCTAAATCTAACCAAAAGGTCTAATAAAGACGAAATTGTTACTTTTACAAGATAATATTGAAACTAGTCAATCACGTATCAATACATAAAAGACATTAATAAAACAATTCTCACACGAAAACAATAAACGTGGAGTATTCAATTTCATAGTCACAGCACAAAAATGTCTGTATGGTACATTAGACGCAAATGTCGGTGATAGATATGATTCTCACATTCAAATATTTGATGAGAATTAGAAAACTATCAATAAAAATCTAAAAGATCAGACAAACGTTCTTAAACAAGTAACGAACACATGATCAATTTTCAAATATGGAAAATAATCAGACATCAATTTCAGATAAGAAAATAAATATTTCGACGGATAATCAAAATATTCAAACTATCTTAATGATGAATCTAATTTAGGAAAATATTAATATGCTCAGTAGTAAACTACGCGAGTTAATTAACCACATACAAAACGCAAGCAGTTTTGCACACGTAAACATAATGCATTATACAATACTGCAGCATAATGAATTCAACTTTATCTTGAAAAACATACCCACAAGTCAACAAATACCGTTTGACAACGTAATACTATGAGACAATGTCCTCACATGTGATAATTCAGAAGAAACTAATTATTTTTACTATATTTACAACAATAATTAATCCTAAACCTCTTATATTGTATAAACTATTTCTTATACCCATCCAAAATTATATAATTAGTGTTAAGTATCCTTTCCTGTTACTTACCACAGACACCATATTACAATGCTCTACAAAAATGTCCAAATATTGAAGACATTTATTTGTGCAAAATGGAACTATTGAAACAAGATGAGCCCTGTGTTCACGATATTGTATCTTCTCGAAATTCAATACGAAGAATCGACAGTTGGAGAAATTCCCAATAATCAAGTATTAGTTATTCCAAAACGACATGTAACAGCAATGCTGCAATGTGACCAGAAGAAATACGTTGAAATCATCAATCGTAATTTCCAAAGGAAAATGTTCAATAACAATTAACAATCGAACATTTTTGGAAGACACGCATGAGAACTTTAACCTAGAACTTGAACTACCCATCATCGACATTCCTGAACTTCTAGAGAATACCACAACTGTAAGACTAAAAGCAATCGACCATGAAGCTCTTCAATCACCGATCAAAGAAGCAAACAAATTAAAGACTGACCCATTGAAAGACTTAAATTTTAAAACCAATAATGTGTCAACCTATATTATATTCATAGTATTAAGTTCTATTTTTAAAACAATTATTCTTATTCTATATTTTAAAGGAAAATGTAGTAAAACTAAAACTGAGGTGCTGATTGAATTGCCCAACATTGTTAATCAATCCCAATTTGCAACCACATAAGAAGGGAGAAGTTATATTATGAAACCCTACTGCCTGCATTTCTTTTTAAGGCTGCACAAAGGGCAGCGGATGAGCTCCAAATAGTTTTCGACAAGAGTCGGCTGCAGGAAAACTCTATTACAGAGTTTACCAGCCAAAGACTTAAAACCACCTTAAAGAGTGCAGAGGTAGACTATTTAGTACGTCTACATATGGATAAGCCATTGCACAGTGTTTTCTTTAAAACCATTGAAAACACTGGCTTATCCAGAAAACTAAGCTTTGCATTCTTGAGGTCTGGTGCATTAAAGTAGGAAACTGAGGGGTTTATCATTGCTTGCCAAGATGGAGTCATCAACACTTTGGAACACCGGAGTCGCGTGATGGGTTTACAGTTTCCTGACACAAGTTGTAGGGCCTGCCATAGGGCGCCGGAGACTCTGCTGTCTGCTTGCGGCCGGTATGTGGTCTCGGCGTATATCCATCGACATAATTCGGCGTGACACTTCAGTGCTGCCATATGTCTCTTCTGATGTTCCGTCTGTAGTGGAGAATGACAGAGCCAGAATATACTGGAATTTCGCATGCCCCACTCTCCGGCTTGTAAAAGCTAACAAGCCGGATATAGTACTCCTTGACAAAAATGACAAAATTATGTATGTCATTGAGTTCTCGGCTCCTGCCGAGACGAACATTATTGCCAAGGAGGAAGAGAAACGGTCGAAATATCAGGATCTTCTCTTTGACCTTCGCCGAATGTACCGGGGCTATACCGTCAAGCTAGTGGTTTTGGTGATTGGGGCTCTTGGAGGTGCACGACAAACACTGCACTCGGCTCTCAAGACCTTGCCAGTGGGTCGTGATAAAGCGGAACACCTTGCTGGCAGGATGCAGAAAGCGGTAATCCTGGGATCATTGCGTCTACTCAGAGCACACGATGCGGAACACCGTTTCTACTAACCTTGCGGTTGGTGGGGAGTAAAACGGTGGACGGAACACCAGGCCTACTTGCACCCGTGTAAGTGTCGGAGCCGCGGGACCGTAAGTAAGGCCAACCAAAAAATAAAATAAAAAAATAATAATAATAATAATATGAGAAGGAGGTTCATCGTTCATCATCACAGAATATGGTTTTTACCTATTTCTATTTTGTTACAACTATCAATAGGTCATTGTTAATGATAATAGGTTCAAATCCTGGTTCGTATCCACCTAATAATTTCTGCTCGTAAAATTTAATCAATTTCTTAATATTAGCTGCGTTCAATGCAACTTTTCAATCTGGTTTTCGCATTGTCTCTGGTTCTATCCAATTACTTTTTTTTTCAGAAATTTTATTCAACTGCAAATTTGACCATCTAGAGAATAGACAAGCACGAAGTTATTCCGTTTGGATCCAATTTTAAATTGCCCCAATATTTCTTTTTGCGATTACACACAAAATAGATGGAGAAGTTTTATTCCCTATGACCTCAAAAAAGTAATTATACTGATTTTGAAAAATATCTGGGAAATGATGACAAATTGTTATTTTCCCGGGGGGGGGGGGGGGGGGGGACAAAAAATGATTATTTTCAAGGTGTTTTCACTTGGGGTTTGGTAAAACTATTTCAGAAATACATAGCAGCAAATCTGAAACTTTCAAAAAGTGAACTTTGAAATATACTGAAAGAACTGTTCTCAGAATTGCGTAATGTAAACGGCCACTCACAGAATGTCTTATGTTCATTTTCCCCCTAAACTTAGTCAAATCTAGTAAATAGGATTAATCAATGGGCTATTTCAATTGAATAGCAAACATTGATGAAAAACAAAAACGACAATAATTAAATGGACTATATAAGGTCAATATTAACTAAATATAAACTTTCCGTTAGTTTCTAAACCAAGCTTAAAAATTTTAAATTAATTTACGCTTACATAGGTTTTCCATTTCAGCACGGGGGAACAAAAATCCTAGCAACGGCCCTATATGGATACGACGGAACATATTGGATTTTTTAAAACGGCATAGTTGTGCTGGTTAGTGGATCAATACCTGCGTTAATTTAATTGTGCAGGTATCACTAATTAATTTGAAGCACTTTTGTTTAGTTTGAGAATGGAATTCCTTAATTGTTGTGAATATTGAAATTAATTTTTCCAGCCATTCAACAGCGCAAATAGAAATAATAATACAACGAAAGCTCGGCGCAGCGGGTGGACGAGCAGGCTATATAAGCCCAGCATCAGCTAGCAGCGCCAGCAGCTCCAGGTAGAGTTAATTAAAAGATATTGCAGGGCACAACGTAGCCAGTTATTTAGCATTTTGTGCTGACCTGGTTACTGGCCGAAATTAATTATACCTAATTTGATCACAGTCTTCTTTTTATTTTATAATTATATATTTTTTGACTTGTTGTGCACGATACAATTTTATAAGTACTTATATGATTAACTTATAAAATCTAATTTTTTTTTTAAACCGCAGATCTACAATTACTAAGCTTTCAAATCTACATTATTAATACTCATTGAAAAATAATTAACATTTCAAATTTCGCAATATTACGTGAGTAGTTTTTGATAGGATTTTTTAATGCTAGTCGTTAAATTTAGTAGCTATATAAACTGCAGTTTTTATATTTGATTTTTTACATTCGTTAATTTGAAAAAAAAAAATGGCTGAATTTACTGAAATCAAGAAACTAAACGAATTAATCAAAGACTACATCGCTGGTGAAGTTGTCGAACAAAGAGTCGAACGTTTAGTTCCAGCCGGTGAAAACTACGGAAGCGTACTCTATAAAGTTGATTTTAAAGTTAAATTCAATGGAATCGTCAAACCGTTTTATGGGGTGGCCAAATGCACACCCCCAAATAAAGTGACTCAAGAGATTTTTGCTACACAAGTTTCATTCAAAACTGAAATCGGTTGGTACACCACCGTGATACCAACTTTGAAAATGTTTCAACGGATACACGAAGTTGCGGCGGTCGATTTTTTCCAGAATTTTTACGGCGCCAGGATTTCTTTGGATCCGAATAGCGATGTGGTTGATGAAGATGGAGTGATTCTTACTCAAAACTTGAACACTTTAGGTAAATATTTTCAGCATATAGTATTTTATTTCAAATCATGTTTTTCATTGTTAACTCAAAACATTCACAATAAAATTTATTTAAAACAAAGTGTTAGGTGCAAGTAGCTCCTACCCAGTTCAAATTGATGGCCTTGAGGATGGTTTTTCTCAAATATCTCGAAAAATATTAATGTTCTGAGGGGAAAATGGTATTGAAATTGATTTACCACGGAAGAAATTTTTGGACCTTTTTTCTCGTAGGATGTTGTTGTAAGAAGTAAGGTAAAGTAGTTTTTTTGAAAAATCTTGTACTCTTCTATGGAGTTTTTTCAGTGTGTATGCCATCTACACTGTTTGTTTTATTATTCGCGCTACAGCCCCCGATATCTTGCGCCTCCACACATTGCGGTCCAAAGCTTCCCTTCTTCATACCCTGACGCCCATCAGACGACCTGTGCCACCTCATCTTCCTGTCTCTTCCACGGCCTCCCTTCCAGTCTTTTTCTAAACATGCGGCTGGTAAGTGCTCTTTTTGACAGTCTCTCTTCTGGCATTCTGATCACACGACCCGCCCATCGAAGTCTTTGCAACCTGATGTATTTTGAGATGGGAGCTTCGCTGAACAGTTGGTTCGTGATTGTAGCGGGTTCTCCATATCCCATTATCATTTACGCCCTTATATATTTTCTCGGAAAATTGTTCTTTAAAAAATCTCCAGCTTGCTTTTCAGGCTGTCAGTCATGACCCATGTTCTGCATCCATAACATAGAGCTGGTCTGATGATGGTGTTGTAGATTCTGATCTTGAATTCGCGATGGATGGTTTCGGAGAGAAATACTTGTGACAAAGACAAAGAGAAGAATGTAGTCGTCTGTATTCTGTTTTGTATTTCACCTTCCTCGATCCCCGATGTGTTTATATACACTCCCAGGTATTTGAAGCTCGCAACCGCTTCAAGGTCGTTCTTAACTATTCTAGTGTGTCTGTGATTGTTGCTTCTTCTTGTTCGGGCCTGTGACAGCGTCTTTGTTTTTCCTGTGTTTATTTCGAGTCTGGTGTTTTTGGCTTCTCTCTTGAGATTCATATATATTTCTGGAGTGTCTTCTGCTCTACGTGACTTGATGCTTCAGCGTATGCGGCTAATTGTATTGACTTAGTTGTTAATTAGGTTTGATTTTCCAACACTACATACTCTAGCGCCAAGTTGAACAGTGTGGGAGCTAATCCATCTCCTTGCTTGAGCCCTTCATTTATCTTGAATATGTCAGTCATGTCGTTTTGTATTCGCACTGTCTTTGTTGTATTGTTCATTATGGGGGATGGATGCTGAAGCTATAAAAAAGCTAATATAGCCGACTTCTATTGATGGTGTCGTATGTTCTTTTGAAGTATATGAAAACGTTATGAATGTCGATGTCATGTTACTACAACGCTCTACCAAGCAAATGTTTCACCATAAAGAGTTGGTCTGCTGTAGAGCGAATTCTGTCTGAAGCCCGCTTGATATTCACCAATTATATTCTCTGAGAATGGTTCTGAACGCTTATCTAGGATATACGTAATCCTATATAGGCAGTTCATAGGAGGCTAATTCCTCGATGGTTGTCGCAGCTCAATTCGAATCCTTTCTAGTAAATAGGGCAGATGATTCCAGTTCTCCAGTCTTCGTGAATTCACTCTTCTATCCAGATCTTTGAAACCAATGCATGCACCTTTGCTGGTATGTGTTCCTCCCCTGCTTAGAACAGTTGAGAGGAAAGTTTGACAATTCCTAACGACTTGTTGTTGCGCTGCTCTCCGATTGCCTGCTTAACCAATGACCTCGTCCAACGTTGGGGTCTCGATCACTTCCTCTCTTTTCCCTGGTTCCGTGCTGATTTTCACTGTTTATAACTGGTTTTATGCTGGTTTTGTAAAATTCAGCACAAAACCTGCTAAACCAGAAAACAGTGAAAACCAGCAAAATCCAGCATAAAACCAGCTGAACCATAAAACCAGCTAAACCATAAAACCAGCACAAAACCAGCAAAATCCGTCGATTTTCCCACGGTATCGAAAAAATTTCCAGGCTCAGGGGCCTTATTCTGTAAGAAAGAACCGTTCGATTCGGTAGAATTTCTTCGATTGTAGCGTCATTTTTGGTTTGGTTTCCGCGGTACCAAACCGAAAATGACGTCACAATCGAACCAAATTTTTGATGTAGGTCTCACCCTCAATTGAAAGAGAAGTCTGTTTTCTAAATCAGAATTTAAGCAAGCACCTACTCAGATTATGTCATTCTGTAGGTCTACTGATCGAACTAGAAAAGTGGGAGCTATTTTGAAGATTCCTTATTATTTGTTTCCAGTTTTTCATCAAAAATAACTATCTGTTTGTTGTATAGTAGAAGTAACTTCGTTGTAAGTAGTATTATAACAGTTTTTGTAATTGAAGTAATGATTCTAATAGACCGATCTCCTATTACCTGGACTGCGCGCGTCGCTTGTAGGCTGCAGGTGAGCGTCCAATGAGGCGCAAATTTGTGACAGGCTTGTGTCATATTCTTATTCAGGGGCCAATTCAGAATGAATCGTTCCTTCTTTCTTTGTAACGTGTAATTTGACAAAGAGCAAACTAATACTTTTACATATTACTTGAACTCACCGCAGTTTCGTTTAAGGTTATGTTAGATTATACTTGACATATTCCTTTGCAATTTCATTGAGCGATGTTGCCAGATGAAACATTTATCAAAATAAAAGTGCAAACGATATTTATCCACTTTGAAGCTCTTTTTTTGTCTGATTCGAGGCGTTGTAAAACACTTGAGACTATATATCACTTCTTTAATTTTATAATTTTCGATTTGTATTGTCTACATTTATGCTGCAACAATACAATCTGGCTACACTGCAGCCTACGAGTTGCGCGCGCATGTCATCTTTTATTGCTTTCTTACTTGTATTTATTACAATAACGCTCTCTTTTTCTAATCATGCGAGATAGGTCTATTAAAAAATCATTGAATTTTGCTACCATCACGGATCTCTACCAATTCAAACGTATGCCCTTTGGGCTAACCAATGCCCCAGCTATATGGCAAGGATTCATTGATCAAGTTGCTGGAGTAAATTTTGAGCAGCATTTTTTTCATTTATCTTGATGTACCGTCAGTTCTGACTAAGTCATTAGTAGGTATAGGGTCACTTGAGCCTAAGAACTTTTTCGATACCGCGGAAAAAACAGCGGATTTTGCTGGTTTTGTGCTAGTTTTCACTGGTTTCGAACTGATTTTCACTGTTTAAAACTGGTTTTATGCTGGTTTTGTAAAATTCAGCATAAAACCTGCTAAACCAGAAAACAGTGAAAACCAGCAAAATCCAGCACAAAACCAGTTAAACCAGCATAAAACCAGCACCAAAACCAGCAAAATCCGCCGATTTTCTCACGGTATCGAAAAAGTTTCCAGGCTCAGGGGCCTTATTCTGTAAGGAACGAACCGTTCGATTCGGTAGAATGTCTTCGATTGTGACGTCATTTTTGGTTTGGTTTTCGCGCTTCCAAACCGAAAATGACGTCACAATCGAAGAAATTCTACCGAATCGGAAGGTTCGTTCCTAACAGAATAAGGCCCCTGGTGACTAACCCATCCTCATTTTTGATGTAGGTGTCACCCCCAATTGATAGAGATTTCTGTTTTGTGAATCAGAATTTAGGTACCTACTCAGATTATGTCATTCTGTAGGTCTACTGGTCGAACCAGAAAAGGTGGAAGCTATTTTGAGGATTCCTTATTATTTGTTTCCAGTTTGTCATTAGAAATAACTATCTGCTTGTTGTATAGTAGTAGTAGGTTCGTTGTAAGTAGTATTGTTAAAGTTTTTATAATTGAAGTAATGATTCCAATTAAAAAAATCATTGAATTTTCCTACCATTACGGATCTTTACTAATTCAAGCGTATGCCCTTTGGGCTAACCTATGCCCAGTTATATGGCAGAGATTCATTGATCAAGTTGTTGGAGTAGATTTTGAGCAGCATGTTTTCAATTATCGTGATGTATGTACCGTCATTTCTGACGAGGTCATCAGTAGGTATGGGGTCACTTGAGCCTTGGAACTTTTTCGATATCGCGGAGAAATCGGCGGATTTTGTTGATTTTGTGCTGGTTCAGCTAGTTTTGTGCTAGTTTTCACAGGTTTTGTGTTGATTTTCACTGTTTATTATAACTGGTTTTATGCTGGTTTTGTAAAATTCAGCACCAAACCTGCTAATAAACCAGCAAACAATAGTGAAAACCGGCAAAATCCAGCACAAAACCGGCATAAAACCAACAAAATCTGCCGATTTTCCCACGGTATCGAAAAATTTCCCAGGCTCAAGTGACCCCATACCTACTGCCATCAAATTTATTTTTGATGAAGTTCTCATCCTCAATCGAGAGAGATGTCTGTTTTGTAAATCAGAACTTAAGTACTTAGGTTATGTCATTTCGTAGGTCTACTGGTCGAACCAGAAAAGGTGGAAGCTATTTTGAAGATTCCTTACCTATTTATTTGTTTCCAGTTTGTCATCAAAAATAATCCAATTGTTACTTTGGGATGTTGTTTTTTTTGGCATTTTGTTTCCTTACAGATCTTCGACATTTCTTTTGAGTCGTTTTTTACTTCATCCATTCTCTCAAAATGAATATTTTTGTTTTTGATTCATTATTATGTAAAACTTTGGAAATCAGGTCAAACAAAAATTAATTCTTATGTAATCTGAAGTCTGCTGAACTGTGCTATCTCAGGTTTTTCTCAAAATTTCCATATTCGGTCATTTTCCGACAAAATCTTAGTGGCGGAGGGCTAACTTGACGCTCAGCCCCTCTAACATTTTGGAAATCAGATCAAACAAAAATGGATTCTTATGCAATCCGGAGTGTGATGAACTGTGCTGTATCAGGTTTTTTTCAAAATTTCCATATTCGGTGATTTTCCGTCAAAATCTTACTTGGAAGGCTAATTTGATGCTTAGCCCACCTAAAATTTTGAAAATCAGGTTAAACAAAAATGGATTTCTATACAATCTGAAGTGTGTTGGATTGTGCTGTATCAGGTTTTTCTCAAAATTTCCATATTTGGTCATTTTCTGACAAAATCCTACTGGAGGGGGTGAGGTGGGTAACTTGATGCTCAACCCCCCAAAAATTTTTGAAATTAAATCAAACAAAAATGGATTCTTATCCAATGTGCACCAGTGTAATCGCTCGGAGTGGGTGCATGTGATTGCCACACAGTCTACACTCCAGATTGAATAGAAATTCATTTTTGTTTGATCTGATTTTCAAAATTTTGGGAGGGCTCAGCGTCAATAATTACCGAATATGGAAATTTCGAGAGAAACCTGATACAGCACAGTCCAGCGCACTTCAGATTGAATAGGAATGAATTTTTGTTTCATCTGATTTCTAAAAATTTTGGGGGGTGCTGAGCATCAAGTTAGCCTCCCACGTAGGATTTTGTCGGAAAATTACCGAATCTGGAAATTTTGAAAAAAAGCCTGATACAGCACACTTCATATCACATAAGAATCCATTCTTGTTTGATCTGATTTCGAAAAATTTTGGGGAAGCTGAGCGTCAAGTTAGCCCCTCATCTTTTTCTATAACTTTGGTATCGGAACAGCACAGTTCAAAATATCATGGGTACAGTAAAGCACACTTTGAGCACAGTAAGTGGTTGCAATTTTGTTAGAAAATTCGAATGTGGGGGGCTATTGACGGAGACCTGTTATCTTTGGTGTTAAATGAATATAACGTGGTAGTTTTTGTGCTGGCGACTAACGAATCGATAATTGTTCCCCCTTGTCTAGTGAATCTAATGAATTTATTGACGTGGTAGTAAGCTTCTATAGAGTTTGAAAACTTGGACGCAATCCAGTAAGTGTAGATTTGTAGAATATAGATTCCATAAGGACTCATTTTGGACCAATACAGCTGCTGAGCAAGGTACCTAATCGTTCCAGATAAATTGTGCGATCTTTCCCAGATATATAGTTGCTGTATGCCGTGCCCGTTTCTGTTGATTTTTATTAAAATCTACAGAAAAAAATTATTTTCTGCTTTGTCTATAATTTTTTGGTGATATTCTACAAGATGTCAGCAAACCAACGACTGTTCTAATGTTCTAATGTTTCTTCGGTTCATGAACCTATTTGCCTGTCGTCTCAAACAACAAGTTGATCTCCAATGAGTTAGCATTTGGTTTTTTTTTTTTCATCGTTCAGTCAGAGTTATCTCATGTGGCATTGGAGAAGTGTTGTTACCTCTTGTTTTGCGAGAAAATTTGCTTCAGCTATGTTTTAATTGTTTTTGAATACACTAAACCTATTTTTTTTACGAAAATACCTCAAATGAAAAAAGTTCGTGTATTGAAAATATGTCTGTACCATATATTGTCTGTACTTACCTAATTTTTATTACACATACTCATGTTACAATAATTGATAATTTGTCGCACGTAGGTGCTCAACGATAATTGTACGATATTATATTCAGATTGTTATTATTTCAAATCTATACACCTAATATTTATCAATAATACCTACATACATGTAGATTCCTATTATTATTATTTTTTATTTGAGAAGTAAAGTATTCCCCAAAACTGAGCAAGATTCGAACATAAAAATAACTATCAGAAAATTTTGATACACTAATGATCTCCAACGATTAATTTCAATTTTCTTTTAGGTTACAAAAATGTGGATCGTCACACCGGTTTCGACCTTAAAACTTCGAAATCGGTTCTCAGAGACTTAGCAACTTTTCACGCTATACCATGGGCAATTAAGCGACAAAACCCCAACTTATTCAACAGAAATATCTTACCCTTCTTGCCGAAAACAGAAAGAATCTTAGAAAAAAGTGATCCATTTGCATCAATTAGGAAAGGTCTCAAAGATATACCAGAATTGCAGCCATATTTGGAAAAAGTGTTTCACATTTTCGAAAGTAACGATTTGTTTGATGAATCCGAGCCTGATGAGCTTTGGGGATCTGTTGGACACGGCGACTTTTGGTCCAATAATATTATGGTTACCGAAGATGAGGATCCCAAAACTATCATTTTAGATCTTCAAGAGCCTTGCTATGCTTCGATAGCTGCTGATATTATTTTTCTTGCAGTTATATCAATCAATCTGGAAGTAGCCAAAACCCATTTGGATTATTTAATTGAAGGTTATTGGATTAATTTTTTGATGAATGTGAGGGAACTTGGCTGTGACATTAGACCTCTTACTTTTCAAAGATTTTTGGATGAACTAAAAGTACAAGCCAAGAAACAATTAGGACACGCCATGTTTATTAGTCAATTTGTGTATATGGAAAAAGGACATACAGCTATTGATAGCTCAGATGAAACATTTACCCGGGACAATTTGAAATTTGATAATATCAAGTTTGGAAAGACTCATAAGGAGAGATACACGTGGGTCATTCAAGAATTTAATAAACGTAATTGGATTTAACTGATTTTTGCTAAAAATAAACTTTTTTAATTTTAAACCGAAATTTCTATCATCGTGTCCTCAAAGCAAACAAAAATAACTGTACAAATGGATTGGCTTTTTTTTTTTGAAACCAACGCAAATCTAATTAGAGGGCGAGTGGTTGAAAGTTTCGTTTATGTATTTCGAACATCTAATTAATTTTTCAAGTTAATTAATTTTTTTTTTTGTGGTTGCCGGAGAAAGAGAGAGGAATTTTTGTCGTAAACATCATAAGACCGGCAAGTGAGCAAATAAATTGAATGAGGTTCCCGAATAAGGGCAAAGTAGGAAATTGGATTGATTGCTTTTATGTAATCACGCATATACCGGGTGACCACGAGATTACTGACCAAGCTCTAGTTCAGGCATGAATATCAATATCGATTTCAAGTTTTGAGGATGTATATTATTGATATCGATGCAGAATTTCGCTATAAAAACAATCGACTATCGCTTCTGGTTTGACCGCAAGTGCCATCAACTTCTTTATTTCAACTAGATCACCCCCTATATTATTACATTTTTGGATTCTATGAGAAATTCTCAGCATATTTTATGTATACTATCCTATACCTAACTTAAACAGTTTTCAAGAAAATCGCGATTGAAAATGTCAAAAAATAATTTCTATTTTAGTTTTGACAGCAAACAATGGATAGTAGGTTGGAACTTTCACGATATTTTTGACTCATTTTAGAAGCACTAAAGGGTCCCACCACAACAATATCAGTTCCGGTTCAATCGAAGGTTTTCGGTCGGTCTACTTTTGAGGTTATGTTACAGCAATAATTTCAATGGTATCCCATACTGAAAATTCGTATTCTAGGAACAATTTTGAATCTTTTTTGTATACGCTTTCCTATACCTAAAGTCTACTGTTTTTGAGATATTTTACACTTGATGTAAGGATGTCTTTGGAACAACGAATACCAAAAACAGTATTAACAGCAAGTGTCAAATATCTCAAAAACAGTAGACTTTAGGTATAGGAAAGCGTACACAAAAAAGATTCAAAATTGTTCTTAGAATACGAATTTTTAGTTCTAAGTATGGTATACCATTGAAATTATTGCAGTAACATAACCTCAAAAGTAGACCGACCGAAAACCTTCGATTGAACCGGAACTGATATTTTTGTGGTGGGACCCTTTAGTGCTTCTAAAATGAGTCAAAAATATCGTAAAAGTTCCAACCTACTATCCATTGTTTGCTGTCAAAACTAAAATAGAAATTATTTTTTGACATTTTCAATCGCGATTTTCTTAAAAACTGTTTAAGTTAGGTATAGGATATTATACATAAAATATGTTTAGAATTTCTCATAGAATCCAAAAATGTAATAATATAGGGGGTGATCTAGTTGAAATAAAGAAGTTGATGGCACTTGCGGTCAAACCAGAAGCGATAGTCGATTGTTTTTATAGCGAAATTCTGCATCGATATCAATAATATACATCCTCAAAACTTGAAATCGATATTGATATTCATGCCTGAACTAGAGCTTGGTCAGTAATATCGTGGTCACCCGGTATAGGGTGTCAAGGAAGAATTAAACTCAACTAAATTTCTTCGCTCTTTAGTCACTTGTCGAGTTCAGATACAGAAGAAAGTGCACCATATATACAATTTGGCCGGAAATTATTTGAATAGACTCTAAATCTCAATTTGTCACTGCGTATGCACATCCAAATATCTTCTTTTTCACCTAAATTATAATTTTTTTAAAGTTTCCTTGTGAAATCTACCACTGTAGAATTGACTTCAAATCATTACTCATTACAATTTGCAAAACGTTGCAGCAGAATCTTCTTTATCTCTAATTAATATACCTACAATAATTAGGTAGACATATTGAATTTCGATATACTTTCGATCAATTTGCGGCTCGTTCTTGAAAATTCCGCATTTATTTTTAAACAATTTGGTTAAAAGGAATATCACCGAAACCTGACTGGGGAAGTAAATCTCGACTGTTACAACATTGATTCGCAGAAGATGATTGTCGGAACACGAGGAAAGGTGTTATATTGATGGGATCCATCGTGCCTGCATCAATGCTTTTCGCTGAAGCGTAGAAAAGTGAAAATGTATTTTAAAGGGAGATTTATTCAACATATTGCAAAACGCATTTTATTCTTTCCCATTTACTTATATAAAGTGCTTTTGTGAATATTTGTACAATCAATAATTTTTTCAAAGGAATTGCTCATATCGTTTACATGGCCTATACCGGGTGGTCCTCCGGGAATGACATCGATTGCTTATGGGAAAACTGTGAAAGGTAAAAATTTGAAAATTTGGCAACATAGCAATGTCGATGGGGGACATCCAGGTAAAATATTTTCAAGATGGCGGCATTTCCGGTCATACCGGAAGTTGATACCAACTCGGTTATTTTAAATAGAACACCCCATATATTAATGTATTTTTGGATTCTACATAAAATTCTGAGCAGATTTCATGTAATATACCCTATACCTAAGTTCAACTGTTTTGGAAATATTGACAGTTGAAAATTGACTTTTTGCAACTTTGACAAGCTGTAAAACCTAATTGGTTAATTTTAGAGGAAAACCGATTTCACATTCCTATCTTAGATTTTGATAAACTATCATTTGACACCAACTTTGAACTTAAACGGAGATTAAATTTAACTGAAATTTTTAATCATGGATTTAATTCAAAGTTGATGTCAAATGATAGTTTATAAAAATCTAAGATAGGAATGTCAAATCGGGTTTCCTCTAAAATTAATTGTTCAGGTTTTACAGCCTGTCAAAGTTGCAAAAAGTCAATTTTCAACTGTCAATATTTCCAAAACAGTTGAACTTAGGTATAGGGTATATTACATGAAATCTGCTCAGAATTTTATGTAGAATTCAAAAATACATTTATATACGGGGTGTTCTATTTAAAATAACCGAGTTGGTATCAACTTCCGGTATGACCGGAAATGCCGCCATCTTGAAAATATTTTACCTAGATGTCCCCCATCGACATTGCTATGTTGCCAAATTTTCAAATTTTTACCTTTCACAGTTTTCCCATAAGCAATCGATGTCATTCCCGAAGGACCACCCTGTATTTTTGCGTCAATTATTAATTATCATGAATGTGTTAGTAAATTCTTACGTTAATCATTCATTTTTTGAATTTCATATTACATAATATGTCCTAAAGATGTTTTGAAAAACCTGTACTTATTTGGCAACACAGAAATGTGCACAGAAAGTTAAATTCTGTTGTCTAACTACTAGCTAAAGAAAAAAAAAAAAACGAAATAACAATAGACATATTTTACTTTTCCATAAATCTCACTTACTTAATTCAATGGACTGTAGGAGAGGGTGCTATACCTAGGTACATTCGAGTGCATGGGGAATCTGTAACAGATAAAAAATTGATTAGATTAAGGCAGAGTTGTGCAGTCCAAGGTTCAACAAAATTATGTTTTGAAATATCGAGATAGAAATCTTGCATAATCCTTTTTGTTATTTGCGGAGCCAATTTGGAAAGATATTCCAAAACAAATCATACTTTTTGTTCAAGTGTGGTGCCCTCTCTGGTGTTCCGCTCTCCGAGAAAATCACTAACGGTGCTAAAGATTGCACCAAGTCAGTTCTAGGTGTAACTCTACCATGAAATTTCGAGAGTCAAACCAGAACCTAGGTCAATAATTTTCGAATGATGTAGGTATAAAATCAACACAGTTGCGCCCAATATCATTTGAAAAATAATTTCCTGAAATTTCTAACAGTGGCTAATATAAACTGATGAATAATTTGAGTTTTCTATTTTATGTTATAATGTTTTCGAAAATATGTAAAAATTTCGCAGCTATAACAAGTCATCAGGGTAAAGTTCAATCGATACATAAAATTAAAATTGCCAAATAATTGAAATTTGGTTTATCAGAAACCAAGCCGGAATCTCAAGAGCATTTATTTATCTGCTTTTTCGGAAGCTACTTGACGTCTTGTCGATAGTAGGTAGGTATTAGAGATGCCACGAATAGCGAATTGGCCAAATACTGAATATTCGGCCACGCTCTCGTTTGTAGCGCCGAATATTCTGCCGCCGAATATTCGGCGGCAGATCTGTGGGTTTTGTGCGTTATCAACAGGTTGGGGTTGTATTTTCGAATTCATTCGAGTACACTTCGTACACGAAATTTGACTGACAGCAGTGTAAATTAATTGGGGAGCATTCGAAATCGTATCAAATTTCGTATGCGAGAATATTCGAAAATACGACCCCTAAGACCTGTCTCATTCTTATCGCGTCGCCTTCGGTAACGACGGAATTTGGTTCACTTGAGAATATATAGTGTCACAATACGCAATTTTACGCGTTATTAGCTATATTCTTTTGATCGCTTGTTATTACTTATACTACTGTTTATCAGTTTATCTTTAGCAAAAGTTATCAAAATAGCACCAGTAATTAATAAAAAGTCACCTATTTAATAGATTTTAAGTATTAGATTCATTAATAATAATTTAATAATAATAATTCAGACGTTTATTTAATACAATTTTTTTGTTATGTACAAGTAAGCAATTAATACTAATTAAAGAAGTAAAATAAACGTTCTTGTCTTCTGCCGAAATATGCACAAAAATGTACGTTGCAGTTTTTTGCTCCACTTCTATGCAGTTTTAGTGCTTCACTTTTCATTAATATCTACTTTGATTTTGATTCACAAAACTGTCAATTGCTTCTCGAGAACACACTTTTAAAATCCATTCTGACATGTTTTTCTTGAAACTTATTAAACTTTCACAAGATTTTATTGCACTTGGAACTATATTAAAAAACTCTTGGTGTGAGGTATAGAAAGCTTCTCTGTCCACAGGCCTTATGACATTTTGGTACTGCAACTTTGTTAATAGTTCTTAGAGTATAATGTCTCTCATTCACAATTAAACATTCATGTGGTTTTTTAAATGACCTCAAAGCCATTCTATAACAGCAAAGCT